CCTTTTTCCAAATGGCATATCTGTTACAATGATATCCACAGAGCCAGTTCTCAGTGGAAGATTGCAGCTATCCCACTGAATAGCATCAATGGGCAAGCCCCAGGAGGATTTGCTGCAGGGACAAAGGAAAGGTGCTTCAACATATTCTAAAATATGAAATTTTTAAAAAAGTTTTTTCAAAAGAGACTTTGCTATAGCAAAGTACAATGCTACAAATCATAGTGAGAACATCACCAACTGATCAGAATCTTAAAAGTGACATGTAAAAAGGAACTTTATATTCATGAAATAAAACTAGTGCAATGACTGAAATGGAAAAGCTACATATAAATAAATTTAAAGAACAGTTAAGATTGATTTTCAAAAGATGTTCACATGGAATGTGGTGATGCACACTTGTAATCCCAGTACTCAGGAGGATGAGGCAAGAGGACCACCAAAAGTTTAAAGCCAGCCTAGACAGCATAGGGAGACCCTGTCTCAAAAAAGATGTTGACAAAGATGTTCAAATACAGTTTAGGAAAATGAATTGAGAGAAATTATGCCTGTACCAACTGCAAGAGAACTTTACAGTGTTAAAAAATTAGCAAAGATAAGGGTACAGCCAGTATTATAGACATAAAATAGGATCACATGTGCCATGTATAAATAATCGTGAAAATTTAAAGTAAACATTTTTAAAAAAGCAAGTGATTTACAAACATAAGCCTCACAGTATTACAGAGGCAGTTCTCTCTGGATCTTCTAAGGCCAAATGTAGATCAAATGACTTCCTGTGTTATGTAATCAGGATGTGGTGCATCTGTAAAGCCAAATAAATCTGTTGACAAGTACCTACTCCTTCAGCTTTCTAAAAGAATAAAGGACAAGGGCTGGGGATTTAGCTCAGTGGCACCATGCCTGCCTTGCAAGCACAAGGTCCAGAATTCGATCCTTGGTACTGGGGTGGGGGGGGTGGGGGGAATAAAGGACAACTACCCAAGAGACCAGAGAAGTGGGCTTATGATGGAGCTTCTGATAAGAAATGATACATTAAGCCACAGTACAACCAGTTCTTCCCCAAAGACTTGAAAAGAATGGAGAGGCTGACATAGAAATTGTCCTCAAATGCCACTTATAGTGGGCTAGCCCTTAAGACACTGCAATAATACATACATCAAAAGGACAGACAATACACATATGCAGAGGCTGATGGACTTCCAAACTATGGATATCAAAGGCCTAAGATTTAGAAAGAGGGCTTTCCCCAAGAACCCACACGGCTGGCACCTTGATCTTGGGTTTCATAGCTTTATGAAGGAAGAATGAATGTTAAGCCCCTTACTCCAATGGGAGAGGATGATTTAATACCCTTACATCCTTATTTAAGGATGTAGCTCAGTGTGAAGGTACTGAGTTCAATCCTCAGTACTACAAAAATGGAAAAAAGAAAAGAAAAGAAAAAAAGTTGCAACAGGGTGAGGAAATTAGTTAAATATTTAAAAAATATAAATTATTTTCAATAAATTTAAATTTTAAATGGATTCTCTACATCTTGGCTATACGGTCACAATACACTGAGGTTATTAAGTCAAAATCAACATGAAAAGTGATTAAGTCTAAAATATGATATAAAAGATTAAAAACTTTACCTTTCTTTAATTTGGCTCTTGGTCAATAAAGATGAGATATTATTGGCTGCTCTTTTTACAGCCAGTGGACTATTATCACCAGCAATATGATAACAGTTAGACCATTCAGTAGCCCCCTAAGAGACAGGATTATATATTAAAACATAAAGTAACAAACTGCAAAAAATTGTGAAGGGGAAAGTTATTTCAATCAGTTGTCATAAATAAGACAATCAGTGTTCTTTTCAAAAGTGGCAAAACAATATATTGTCAACTTTGCTATTGGCCTTGTTGGAAATGCCTTCTCTGCTTGCTGAACTCCTACCCATCTTTAAAAACCCACCTTGACTGTCAACTTATTGGATTAAGAGATTAATGGAGAAGTACTGGACTGTGAGGGCATAGTTGAATGGGCTACTCAAAGGTGGGGCCTAGCTGGAGAAAGTGTATCAAGGGTGTGTTACCGTGGGGACTATCTGGCCCTGGTTCCTTCCTCTCTGACATCTTCCCAAACTCTTGATTCCTGCCTGCCATAAAGCAAGCAGCTTTGCTACATCATGATATTCTACTTCACTTCAGACCCACAGCAATGGAACTAGCCAACCATGGACTGAAACCATAAGCTAAATAAATCTTTAAGTTGTGAGTGTTGGGTATTTTGTTCCAGTGTCTGAAAGGTGACTTGATACACAGCTCAAATGTCATATTCTCTCTTTTTTTTTTTTTTGGTACCGGAGATCGAACTCAGGACCGTCATATTCTCTTTTAACATCAAACTCAACTCTCCAAGCTGTCTTTTATCAGCTCTT